TCATAATTTCAGAGTTTTCCGTTAGCAGAAGCTCAACAAACCTCTTAGGTGGTTTTGTTGGTCTACTAGATCTACGTACGGGCTGAGCAACAGGAGAAATGTTCTTCTCAACTATTTGAGAATTTTCGCACGAATTTGATTCGAGTGGGACGATAGGAGGTTCTTGCGTTGAATGCAATTCCTCCATCACATTGTTAGTAGTGAGGAGAGGATCGTGCGTTTCAGGCACTAGCTCTTCCTCATTTATTAATGGCCTAATCGGTAAGAAATAGCCCTGTGATTGCGTCTCTGACGTGGTTTTATCCACATCCATTTGTTGCTCTTCTCGAATTTCTTCGAGATAGATACTACTCCCACTTGTCTTTTTGGAAATGAAACCCTTTTCCAGAAAGACACCATCTTGAGCAACAAACACTTTGTTCGCATTTCGGTTGTAAAAGTAGTAGCCCTTTGTTTCTTTAGGATAACCTATGAAGAAACATTTGTCAGATTTGGGAGATAGCTTATCTGAGAGTTAACGTTTTACATAAGCTTCACAACCCCAATTTCGTAGAAAAGATAATTTTGGAACTTTTCCTGTCTATAACTCATATGGTGTCTTTTCTACTGCCTTTGACGGAGTCCTATTTAGTGTAAAAGCAGCGGTTTCGAGGGCATGTCCCCAAAAGGATATTGGAAGATCTGCAAGACTCATCGTTGATCGAACCATATCAAGTAAGGTATGATTCCTCCTTTCGGATACACCATTTAATTGAGGTGTTCCTGGTGGAGTTAGTTGGGAAAGTATTCCATAACCCTTTAGATGATCATCAAATTCTTGGCTTAAATATTCTCCACCACGATCTGATCGTAGTGCTTTTATTGTTTTGCCAAGTTGATTCTGTACTTCATTCTGAAATTGTTTGAACTTTTCAAATGATTCAGACTTATGCTTCATTAAGTAAATATATCCATATCTACTTAAATTATCAGTAAAAGTTATGAAGTAACTAAACCCTCCCCTGGCCATAGTGCTCATTGGTCCACAGACATCTGTATGTATGAGTCCCAAAAGATCACTTGCTCTTTCACCTTTTCCTGTAAAAGGTGACTTAGTCATTTTACCCATCAAACACCCTTCACATATATCGTATGATTCATAATCAAACGATGTCAGAATGCCATCCTTTTGCAATTTCTGAATACGTTTTGGGTTGATGTGTCCTAAACGACAGTGCCATAAATAAGTAGGGTTCGAATCACTTGATTTGTTTTTCTTGCAGTCTATGTTATAGATATGTTTGTCAAAATCTAATATATACAAACCATTTATTAATTTAGCACTAGCATAAAACATCTCTTTAAAATAAACTGAACAACTATTGTTCTTTATTTCAAAGCTAAAACCTTCGGTGTCTAACACGGAAACTGAAATGATGTTTTTAGTAATAGAAGGAACAAAATAACAATTATTTAATTCTAAAACTAATCCATAAGGTAAAGGTAGACTATATGTTCCAACTACTAAAGCAGCAACTCTTGCTCCATTTCCAACGCGCAGGTCTACCTCTCCTTTAGCCAGCTTTCTACTTCTTTTTAGGCCCTGCACATCCGAAACAATGTGAGTACCACAACCGGTATCAAATACCCAAGAAGTAGAAGTTGTTAAATTAAATTCTATAACAAAGATACCTGAAGAGCCTGTCTTCTTATCTTCCAGATACTTTGGGCAGTTTCTCTTCCAATGGCCTATTCCATCACAATAGAAACACTTGGCATCCGCTTTTGGATCGACCTTGGGCTTAGATGTCTTAGTTTGAGCAACTTGCTTGCCCTTTCCTTTGACATTCTTTTTGCCCTTCCCATTCCTCTTGAAACCCTTACCCTTTTGTACCATAAGAACTTCTTTCTTTGGTTTTGGAATGTCCATCTCAGCAGTGACGAGCATTCCGTGTAGTTCTTCTAAGGTTTGCACTTTATTGTGCATGTTAAAGTTTTGCCTGAATTGCTGAAATCCATCATGCAACGACATCATGATTATGTCAGTGGCCATTTCAGTGGTATAGATCATTCCCAGTTTAGACATTTTCTGGAACAATTCCATCATCTTGAAGACATGTTCTCCCACTGGTTCATCGATCTTTTGTACACATCGGAGTAACTCTCTATGAGTCTCGTATCTCTCTATCCTTGCTTGCTTCCGAAACATCTTTTTCAGTTGCTGGATAATGCTATGAGCATCCATACCATCAAACTTCTTTTGAAGGTTTGGTTCCATGGAAGCTAGCATGAGACATGTGACAAACACTGATTTTTCTTTAACAACCTTTTGACTGGCCTTTTCAGCATCTGATGCTGTGGCTGTCAGAACTGGGATAGGGGTGTCAAGGACATCCTCTCTTCCTTCGGCCCTAAGAACAATTCTTAGGTTCCTTTCCCAATCAAGGAAGTTTGTGTTGTTCAATTTATCCTTCTCAAGGTATGAACGTAAGTTAGGACTGTTGTTGTTGTTGTTACTAGTCATGATATCTACAATAGAAATATAGCAAAATTTAATTATATGTTCATCATAGTAGCATACAATATTTGAACAATTCAAAGCTACTTATCACATTTAAAAATTGTCCCGTATAATTAATGTGAATTCCAAGATCCTTTAAAACAATAAATTTTAGCGGACTTTGGCCCTGTGTATAAAATTTAATGTTTTATTGGTAAGTAAACAACCTTTACTAATTATATCTCATATAATTCTTGGTCGATACATAACAACTTTTGTTTCCATCTCTATGTTTCAAGACCCAAAACTTTGTCTTTTGATAATCTTGTTGAGCAAAACCAGACAGTGACATGTAAATTTCATAAATATTACCCTATATTCCCGAGATTATATGCAACACCCCGCTTTGGCGGAACCTATTACTTATGATCAAAGGCTTTATAGGTGTCTTGTTTGGAAAAACATAACTCAATATTGCTTTTAGAGACTTAATTTACTATGTTGGTTTATTTATTAGAGAACTTAAGCCATAAACAATAGCAACATACGTAAATTTAAATAGGCATAATAAAATGCAATAAAATTGTGATACTAGTCACCGGCAATAATAACAATAATATCATATATATATTTATATAAAATTGCCACATAATAAAATATCACATATTTTAAAATTTTGATAGGAAAATAAAATCCTTAATTAATTGGAAATATTACAATTAAATCTTATTTAATTATATGGGAAGATAATCTTTCTAGAAAAGATAATTGCCTAAAATTTGAAAAATAAAACTAATAATGGAATTATCCCTTAATAAGGGAATCCTAAAACCATCTAATTATCTTCTCAATAACAACCAAAATTATCTCAAAAAAAAAAAAACAGTTTATTATCCAAAAAAAAAAAATTCCTTAAATTTTTTTTTTTAATGAAAACAGGGGACTGTGCGTGACTGAGCTGACTGCCCAGCCACATCACAGCCACCACAGCCAGGCAATTGCCCAGCCACAGCAGCAGGCTGCCGCCACGGCCAGGCAGTCGCCCAGCCACAGCAGCACTGGCTGGCGGACCAGGCAGTAGCCCAGCACACCAGCCAGCGCAGTGACTGAATTGTGCAACAATTGCACGTTCAGCCACTGCCCTCCCCTGTCCACCCTTTGCTGCCCCTAAGCCCACCGGAGCAGCCACCGTGGCCCACCGTCAGGTGGTTCTGCCACCCAGCCGTGGTTGCTCCCACTCAATCTCTAATATATATTTTTTTTTGAGTTATTTTTGAGTGAATTTAATTCTACAACTTTTGTAAAATTAAATTAATTATCCATGTTAATTAAACATAAACATTTTATGAATAATTCATAAATTAAACTAAAATCTCCATTTTAATTAATTTAGGGCTTTTCATAAAATTCAATTTCTAATTCATATAAAACTATTTTCCATGAATTAATTCATCACACCAAACACTTTGAAGTATGAGAAAATAAATTGAATCATATTAAATTAATACATTAATTTTCGAAATTAGGGTTCATAACCCAACAAAAAACAGAAAATTAATTAGGGCAATTAGGGCTTAAAACAAACGGCTAGGGTTAGAGGTTAATTGAGCAACTAAATTCATAATTTAGTCAATTCCAATCAATCAAAAAACATATTTTAATAAGGTTATTTGATCCATAAATCAAGTCCTCCCCTTAGCCGAATTAAAATTGACAATATTCGCATCAAATTAATTGAATTAATTATGATCATATTATTATACGCAAGAGGCAAACTGATACCACTGTAGGATTATAATAGATGCACTTAGCGGAATTTCAAGAAACAATTTCTTAGCATCTTAAAGAGGATCTCATGCATATAATAATACGAATCATATAAAGTAGTTAGATATACCTTTGATGCGTGTACTCCTCGTTAAACCTAGATTACCCTCCTTCGGAGATCCAGAACCTCAATTGTGATTCCTCTACTTGGTCCACAAACCCGAGATGAATCCCACGTATGCTAGTACGGAAGAAGGAGGAAGATACTTTTCACTCTTCTCACTTTTAGGGAAGCAGTTCTATAAGAAATATTTTACGTTGTTTTTCACTCTGTATATCTGTGTATCTCATACACAGTAATAACCCCCAATATATAGAGATTATTAGGTTACTAGAGCAGAAAACCTAACTGATTAATGACTCCTCATAAAACCGCCCACTTAACCTTTATTGGGCTTAGTGTACTTTTCATCTCGTGCTTTTATGTGTGACCTTATAGGATCCGATTTAAATTAGCAGCAAGCCCACTAAATAATAGGCCTGCAAATCGTAGTTGGTTTCTAGCAAAACATTACGATTCCTAAAATAACCGAATTAATAATCTCCTTAATTAATCCTATATTATATTTAGTAATTGCTATACTTGATCGAGGACACTCCTTCACCAACGATCATAGAGTGATTAATAATGGTACCATAATAGGGTGTAGAAGCTCGTGTTACGCATTTCATGCAAATGAGTCTTGTTGTACAAATGGCAACTACTGTGAACGTAATAGCTTCTCAGTAGGTCGTTAATCTTCAAAAAGGGCTGCCCTCGCGCTTACAATTATGCGTTGGATGTTGCCAATTCTACCTTCATCTGTTCCAGCCCTAAGACGTCGTATACCGTTACATTCTGCTCGTCACCTAGCCTCGGCAGGTGCATTCATATGACTTTTCAAGTTGTTTTTTCAATTTACTAAAATATCATAATTTAAAGGAAAAATTGCAAGGAAGGGTATTTTAAAGGGACGACCTTGTGACAAAGGTCCTTATAAAAAAAGGTGGCATCAAAGGTCCTTATAAGTCAGTTTGGTTGTGAGGAGGGGTCTTTGACCGAATTCCGGCCAACTTCCGGCGTTGACTTCTATATTCAGGCAAAAAAAAAAACACGTGCTTGGCACGTGACTTCTTTTTAATTTTTTTTTTCTCCTTTCCCCTTTCCCTGTTCTTCCTCGATTTCCCCTGTTCTACTACTTCATACTCCCCAGAAATTAGCAGCAGTAGCACCTCTTCTTCATTCATAAAAGTCAAACCCAAAATTCAAGCTCCATTAATGGCGTCCACACCTTCTCCTTCCTCCACCCTTTCTCTCTCCTAAGTGCAACTCCCAACTCAACCCCAAAACCACCCTCTTTGTCGAGAGTTGCTTTTTCCGACCACAATTGGTGGCCGAAGACGATGTTTGAAGCTTAAATTCTCTGCCGTTAGAGCCGCCGTCGGAAGCGTTGGTTCTTCTCGTAGTCGTAGATTTGTTTAAAGGGAATCTCAGGCATAAGTGTTATTATGAAGTAGGTTCGCAAATTAGGGTTCAATAAGGGGGAAATGGCTGAGGAAAAGGGGAAATCGAGGAAGAACAGGGAAAGGGGAAAAAGGAAAAAAATAAATTTAAAAGAAGTCACGTGCCAAGCACGTGTTTTTTTTTTTTTGGCCTGAATATAGAAGTCAACGCCGGAAGTTGGCTGGAATTCGGTCAAAGGCCCCTCTTCACAACCCAACTTACTTATAAGGATCTTTGATGCCACTTTTTTTTTATAAGGACCTAAGTCACAAGGTCGTCCCTTTAAAAGGCCCTTCCTTACAATTTTTCCTAATTTAAATTGATATTGTTTAACATGCTTCAAAAAGATCTTAATTAACATTATCATTATCACTCCATATTAGTTCTTTATTATTTAGACCTTTTCTACTAAATTGATCAGGTTCTACATGTGAATTTTATCACTAATTTTTCACCCCCCACATCCGTGAAAAGAAAACAAGTGCAATTTGAATTGAGGATTATCACATTACAAACTCGATCTATAGGGGAGAATGATTAAGTATTGACTTCCGATGATGAATTCTCCCTCAGAACTATGTCATTTCCCTATTGTTCTTAACATTTATTTGGAGCTTTTTATTATCAGGGAAAACCCAAGAATGGGCAGAAAATTGCTGTCAAAAGACTATCAAAAAACTCCGGACAAAAAGTTGCAGAGTTTAAAAATGAAGTTGTTTTGGCTGCAAAACTTCGACACAAGAACTTGGTCAAGCTCTTGGGATTTTGTGTGGCACAGAAGAAAAGATACTTGTCTGTGAGTTTCTTTCTAATTCAAGCTTGGACAAATTTATATTTGGTAACGACAAAGTTTTGAGGTTTAAAAATAAACAATTTGTTAATTTGTGCATTAGCACCTCATTACTAGTTGTTTGTATTGCAGGTCAAACGAAGCAAGCATCTTTAAATTGGCAAATAAGGTGCAATATTATAGTTGGTATTGCAAGAGGGCTTTTATATCTTCACGAAGACTCCCCACTTAAGGTTATTCATCGAGGTCTTAAATCAAGTAACATATTACTAGATGAACATATGAACCCTAAGATATCAGATTTTGGCCTTGCCAAACTTTTTGGAGTTGATCAAATTCAAGGTGACACTAAAAGGATTATTGGAACTTAGTAAGATCTCAAACCTTTCCATAAATTTTATTATCTTTGTGTATAGACAAACTATATAGTAATACTTAAATTATATAGTCCCTTGTTACCTTTTTATATATGCATATAAAACTTATTGATTATTATCTTTCTACACTTGTATTTCAAGAACTTATTTTGAAATACTTTCAATATAATGAATTTTTGCTCTTTTTTTTTTTTTTTAATGAAAACTAGCTCTTAATTATTTAGTGGTGAATCATTTTTTTTTTTGAAAGTACTGATTTCTATATTTAATTTAATTTAAATGAAAAACCTAATCTTATTAATTAGATCAATTTTCTTACTTTTGAAATACAGTGGTTACATGGCTCCAGAATATGTAATAACAGGTCATTACTCTGTAAAATCAGATATTTATAGTTTTGGAGTCTTAGTTCTTGAGACTGTGAGCGGTCAAAGAAATAGATTTTGCAAGCAATTGCAGCTTGAAGAGGTATTACTACATCGAGTAAGATTCTATTTTATAAGGGTTCATATAAATCAAAAAATCATCTCAAAATTTTTAACTTTTGAAATGTCAATAATGTATCTCTTGTTTATTGAATAGGCATGGAGGTTATGGAATGATAACAAGACCTTAGATTTTGTTGATACAACATTACAAAATGACTTTCCAATAGATGAAGTAACTAAATGCATCCATATTGCTCTACTATGCATTCAAGATGATGCCGCCTTAAGGCCGAGAATGAGCTCCATTGTTGCAGCCCTCAATGGCCAAGCCATTTGTCTCCCAACGCCGAAGCCACCTAATTACTTTGGTGCTAACATTTTAGAAGATAATGATTCTCTAGGAAATAAGACGATTACAAATTTGCATCCTCGCGATTAATTAACCTATCTCATTCATTTTTTGATCCTTGTTTGTAAGTAATACTATCCTGCAATTATATATATATACCCAATATATATGCTTGCTTTTAACACTTAATTTTTTTAGTTGGGATAATTTTGTATTTTTGTCTTTTTCTCTTTTCCTTTTTCCCACTGCCAAAAAAATATACTCAATTTTTATAGTAATAAATAATAAAAGAATGGAAGAAGTATATAAAGAGAACTTGGTATTTTTGGAATAAAACTACGTAAGTTAGTTTGGACAGGTTGGATTGGAACTCAGGCACTCAGCCAATTAGTGTTGTCTCTTGACTAATTCAACGTTACGGTAAGTATTTTAGCCGTATAGGTGCCGGGTATGGAACAATATGGAACATACGTTCTAGATAGTCCGATGAAAGTGCCAGGTTTATCAACTTTTATCAATTATCACATTCACATATCATTGTCGAAATAAACCCATGGACTTTTAGAGTAATGAGAAATTGAGATTTACACTATGACCCTTTTCTTTTGAGCTGTTCTGCTTTGCTCTGCTTTGTCCTGTTCTGCTCTACTATGTTATGTTGAAATCTGTTCTGTCCTGCTTTGCTAAAAAATAATAATTAATAATAATAATAATAATAATTAAAATTTAATAAAAATAATAATAACAACTAATATTTAATAATAATAACTAATATTTATAGATAATAATAATAATTAATATTTTATAATAATAATAATTAATATACAATATTAATTGATAATAATAACTAATATTTAATGATAATAATGAATATTTTATATTATTTAACATTTTCTAACGTTATAAAAAGAGTAAAAAAAAATCTAAAAAAATCAAATAATAATAATAATGTTGAAATCTGATCTGCCCCAAAATCTCAAAAGAACAGAGCCTATGTAATATTGACCTCAACCTCATCACTATTTTTTGAAGACAAACAAAAAAAAAAACTCATCACTCTTTATTTTTAGTCACGAGATTTGATTACGTGCCCAAATAATGATATTGGTCCACGGACAGTTATGGATTTATGGACCGTTACATAAAAAAAAAAAAAAAAAAGGGTTATGTACCATACAATTTTTTTCAAAGAATATGTCTAGCCAAAGAAGATAAAACCCAAAATTTCTACACAATTTGTAATAACTAGTATCCCAAATTAAAGATAAGTATTACATGGAAATTTCAACCAACAATCAACATTGGAAACTCACATTAATTTCCCACCTTTCGTAAATTATCAGTTTATCACTCGAGAAATTCCTTATCTGTTCTGCTCTACTATGTTATGTTGAAATCTGTTCTGTCCTGCTTTGCTAAAAAATAATAATTAATAATAATAATTAAAATTTAATAAAAATAATAATAACAACTAATATTTAATAATAATAACTAATATTTATAGATAATAATAATAATTAATATTTTATAATAATAATAATTAATATATAATATTAATTGATAATAATAACTAATATTTAATGATAATAATGAATATTTTATATTATTTAACATTTTCTAACGTTATAAAAAGAGTAAAAAAAAATCTAAAAAAATCAAATAATAATAATAATGTTGAAATCTGATCTGCCCCAAAATCTCAAAAGAACAGAGCCTATGTAATATTGACCTCAACCTCATCACTATTTTTTGAAGACAAACAAAAAAAAAACTCATCACTCTTTATTTTTAGTCACGAGATTTGATTACGTGCCCAAATAATGATATTGGTCCACGAACAGTTATGGATTTATGGACCGTTACATAAAAAAAAAAAAAAAAAAGGGTTATGTACCATAAATTTTTTTTCAAAGAATATGTCTAGCCAAAGAAGATAAAACCCAAAATTTCTACACAATTTGTAATAACTAGTATCCCAAATTAAAGAAAAGTATTACATGGAAATTTCAACCAACAGTCAACATTGGAAACCCACATTAATTTCCCACCTTTCGTAAATTATCAGTTTATCACTCGAGAAATTCCTTATCTGTTCTGCTCTACTATGTTATGTTGAAATTTGTTCTGTCCTGCTTTGCTAAAAAATAATAATTAATAATAATAATTAAAATTTAATAAAAATAATAATAACAACTAATATTTAATAATAATAACTAATATTTATAGATAATAATAATAATTAATATTTTATAATAATAATAATTAATATATAATATTAATTGATAATAATAACTAATATTTAATGATAATAATGAATATTTTATATTATTTAACATTTTCTAACGTTATAAAAAGAGTAAAAAAAAATCTAAAAAAATCAAATAATAATAATAATGTTGAAATCTGATCTGCCCCAAAATCTCAAAAGAACAGAGCCTATGTAATATTGACCTCAACCTCATCACTATTTTTTGAAGACAAACAAAAAAAAAAACTCATCACTCTTTATTTTTAGTCACGAGATTTGATTACGTGCCCAAATAATGATATTGGTCCACGGACAGTTATGGATTTATGGACCGTTACATAAAAAAAAAAAAAAAAAAGGGTTATGTACCATACAATTTTTTTCAAAGAATATGTCTAGCCAAAGAAGATAAAACCCAAAATTTCTACACAATTTGTAATAACTAGTATCCCAAATTAAAGAAAAGTATTACATGGAAATTTCAACCAACAGTCAACATTGGAAACCCACATTAATTTCCCACCTTTCGTAAATTATCAGTTTATCACTCGAGAAATTCCTTATCTGTTCTGCTCTACTATGTTATGTTGAAATCTGTTCTGTCCTGCTTTGCTAAAAAATAATAATTAATACTAATAATTAAAATTTAATAAAAATAATAATAACAACTAATATTTAATAATAATAACTAATATTTATAGATAATAATAATAATTAATATTTTATAATAATAATAATTAATATATAATATTAATTGATAATAATAACTAATATTTAATGATAATAATGAATATTTTATATTATTTAACATTTTCTAACGTTATAAAAAGAGTAAAAAAAAATCTAAAAAAATCAAATAATAATAATAATGTTGAAATCTGATCTGCCCCAAAATCTCAAAAGAACAGAGCCTATGTAATATTGACCTCAACCTCATCACTATTTTTTGAAGACAAACAAAAAAAAAAACTCATCACTCTTTATTTTTAGTCACGAGATTTGATTACGTGCCCAAATAATGATATTGGTCCACGGACAGTTATGGATTTATGGACCATTACATAAAAAAAAAAAAAAGGGTTATGTACCATACAATTTTTTTCAAAGAATATGTCTAGCCAAAGAAGATAAAACCCAAAATTTCTACACAATTTGTAATAACTAGTATCCCAAATTAAAGAAAAGTATTACATGGAAATTTCAACCAACAGTCAACATTGGAAACCCACATTAATTTCCCACCTTTCGTAAATTATCAGTTTATCACTCGAGAAATTCCTTAGATCGAAATTTATTTCTGATATGACAAATTATGTTACAATTATCTCTCTCGTCACCCTTGTCGTGCAACTGAACCTGTTTCTAGGTATTGATTGTGCATTATAAAATACTACATGAGTTTATTTGTATTTTTTCAAATAAAATATTTTACTAATATATATTTATATAATAAACTTTGTGATATTCGTTTGCTTACTACTTGAATTTTTTTATTATAAAATGAATTATTAACTTTGTTTCTCATATTTAGATAAAGTTTATAATGTAAAATATAGTAATATTTTATTTCACAAAGTTTCATATGTGGTTGGTTAGATCACACTGTGTGGTCGGGATTACTTTGTCAGGAGTTACTTGGTTGGTCAAGGGTTACTCAATCGATCAGGGGTTACTCGGTCAGTGTTAGGGTGTGTGTCTCAGCCGGCCACACGATATGGCCAGCCACCCAAAAAACGCGCTGATTTTATTTTTATAATAATTAATATGAAATTTTTGATCTAAAATAAATTGCAATTCTTTTTTCAATTTGCTAAAATATAACATTTTCCAATGTGACGCTCTAAAATTAATCTTACGTGGCATAATCCTTTTGTAGCGATTTAAAATTATTAATCCTACGTGGCGATTTTTTTTTTAATATAATCCTACGTAGCGCTTTAAAAAAAAACTAATCTTACGTGGCAAAATTTTATTGAAGCGTTTTAAAAATATTAAACGTAAGTGGCGCTCTAATAATTTTCTAAAAATTAAAATCCTACGTGGCATTCTAAAAACTTGAGGAAAAACTCCCCTTTATATATATATATATATATATATATATATATATATATATATATATATATATTAGATTATATAATTTTGTATTGAGATACTTCTAACAATATTTCATTTTTTTTCTTTTTTACCATAGCAATAGTTCACAAATATATATGATTGATTAATTGATTTATATTAGAGAATTATAGTCAATCAAATTGTTATAAAAGTAATGAGTTTATGACCCATGAAATACTAAATATTAATTTCATCATTGAGGTCTGTTGGATATTCATATTATTGGAATAGCTAGAATGACGTAATAAGTGGTTAATGGAGGCGGATGTACCATGCTCCAAAAAAAAAGAAAAAAAAAAGCCGAAAGAACATAGAATAGAAATGTAAAGAACATTTTAGTTAAAGTAAAAAGAACATATTGTTAAAAGAACATGTTACATAATTATAAAAAACATATTGCTAAAATGTAATGAACATGATAATTCCCGAGCGTCTATTTTAAAAGAACATACATAATATAACAAAAGAACATAAGAGATATATACACCAAAAAAAAAAAAGAAAAAAAAAACGTTGCATTATATTTAAATAGACCATGTGAATTAAATTAAAATTCAACTTTTATTTCAGAGCTATTATAACAATGAACATAACACTATTTTATAAAGAACATCATCTTCAACGAAACCTTTGTCACATTGAGCTCAAATTCAACATCCAGATTCATCAAATATTAAAAATGAAAATAAACAATGAATTTCATATATGATTGCAAAATATTCTAATT